TGACGTCACAAATTGGGCTTAATTTTCTCACATATCTCAAGAAATAAGCTTTTGAAACACATTTTATTACGATATATTTATTACGACTAACAAACCATACATTTTAAATGATGAAATGTTTTCGTGTCATATACACTTTAAGTTGAATATTTAATTAGTATGAAGGAGAAATTCACCAATCAACTTCTAGAATTTTTTTTGATAATTTAACAGAATAACATATGATTTCTGGAAGTCATTGCTGTAGTTTAGGATCCTGAAGCTGGCATATGTAGCTATAGACCATTAAATAAATGTGTTACAGGTATTTGCTTTGATGCTATAGGTAATTACTTTAATACATTTAGAAAACATTTCAAAAATTCGAAATTTAAAGAGTCTTTTCATTATCATATATGAATCCTTTAAATTAATCTATAATCAAGGATACAGGAAAACACCTACTGTGTGCATATGATTTTACCAACTGTTTTCAAAAACAAAATTTTGTACATGGTGAGTATATACAGGAGATCTTTTAAACACCTTCTAGAAACCAAGAATAAATTCACATCTCTATTGCAATTCATTTCGTCACATGATAATTTTTAGACCAAAATAACAGAATACTATTCTTTTGGAGAAAAATACTGTTAAATATTATTCAAATAATTATCTTTTTAGCCTAATATTACTTCTTAAATAATGAGAATTGAATTAAACAGGGAATAGGTTTTTGGTCACAAACGCTCAATAACAACGATGATGATGATGTTTTAAACTATTAAACCTCGTATTAATAAATCTGAGGGTTGTCTTTCAGCCAAACATAATGTTTCTTGTCATTTTATATGCTAGGTACTTGATATTATAATAAACAATCCAGCCCTTATGATATGATATTGATTTATGCAATTTTTACTTTTAAAGGGTTTTACAAATCACCTAGGTATCATAATATTAGGTAGAAACTTTATTTTACAAGGGTACCACATATATAACAGGGATAGTAAATATAACGGTGACCCATGCCAGTGGACCTTCCTTTTTGTATTTCTTATACTGCAACTTTGGATGAAATTAAACTATTATCATTAATATTATAATTTTCATCATCGTCATCATCAATATTAATCATTATTATTATTTACATTATTATATTGAAATATCATTATTATTATACTTACATAGTGCATAACACAATTCAATATATGAAAGATATTTTTCACTAGGTCTTTGTAAGCAATTTTCATATTTAACTACGAAACCCCCAAGAGTTTCAGCATAATTTTGGCCAAACATCAAACAAGCAAAAAGTGGAAGATAGTTATGAAAAATTAATGTAGGGAATAAATAACTGCACAACATGTATATTCTTTTCAACATGCATCATAAATAGTAAAGATAATTGAATTTTTTATAACATTATAATTTTCTGATAACATAAGACAAATTTACATTCCAATAATATTATAGTACTTCCAAAGCATTGAAAAATAAAACATAAAAATATGAATACTAAATATTAAAATATATTCTTAATTATACAGCATTTAAAAATATTTTATACTTATGAAATACTATAGTTGTAAAGGAATATTTTCAAATGTCTGTAGATGTTTTTATTATATTCTTTAATGGAGAGTAAAAAAACTTTTTTTTGATGTTGCAAAACATTTATTTGCATACAAATAAATTGAAAACTGACAGCCATAAAAATGCAAAGGTTTTTTCTGAAACAACATTTTTATATTCTCCCAAGGGCTTTTGGTATATTTATGCAGCCAAAGTACTGAAAGAGCAATACCATTTGAGGATTTTACTGACATCCAAGTACTGCCCACACATTCATGAAAAACTTTAACTTGCATTAGTATGTTACCAAACAAACAAGCCTTCGAATAAATCCGAACTTATGACTAAACTTTGCAAAAAATCTTTTGATAAAATTAACACGTGTCTATCAATGATATTTCGGTTTCTTTAGAGGCCTTTGAATGTGGTTCAAAATAATGCAAGGAATGTAAAAGAAATGGTCCATGGATAGTGCCATACTAAGCTAAGAGAATAGGCTAGTAAAAACAATCCATTATGGATTAATTTTGCTTTTGTACAATATATTATCTATGGAACCCAAAATCATTAGGCAGGAATTTAAAAATATAAACAGAAATTTTGAACTTGAAATAACGTTTTTAAAGTTAACTTGGATGTATTTTTCGCCTGAAAATGTTAAAAATTTATGAACGATTTGAAATATATGTTTACATATTTTTACGATTTTAGGCCTCAGGAGTTCCCACGAGTTCATTATGCAAGATGATGTTTATGGATTAGAATTAAACTCTTTCAAGTTAAAAAATATGGACGTAAAGCGTAACAAAAGTACTGATAGTTTCGATAAAAAGCCGGTACAAGATTGTTTGTTTTGATAGTGTTGTGAATTTTGCATGTGTTTTGTGCAGTCATGATAATAAATGAGTTTCTATCATCATGGATCGGATTAATTTTCAATCCAAGTTCCACTTAAATACCGTAGAAAATGAAATAAAAAGAAGGTAGCTATGTGAATTCAGAATCAACGAGGAGTAGTTTTTACAGGAGATTCCCTAGATAAGGCAACAAACAACTTCGATGCATCTTAAAAGGAAACTAATTAATTGATTGCTTTCAAAATTTCACGACGAGTTGAAAACAATTTTAAAACTCAAAATTCTAATTTTACGAAGTTTAAAAAGTAAATAAGTGAAACCAGAGAAAAATATAATAGAATAAAACGAATGTTTGAACCGTTCTGACCTTGTAATGAAGCAAGGAGCATCTTTGTAGCACATATACTGCACGAGCGTACAGTTTTCGAACGAGAAACTTGTCTTTTCCGAACAAGTAGCTCAACGATGCTATAAAACCTATATAGTCACCGTTAAAGCTGGCAAAACGGAAGGGAAGGGTTCCCAATATCCTTCTGCGGTTTATACTAAGACAACAGGAATATAAAAGGTGACAAAACCGAAAAAACAATAATTATTAAAATTTTGGGAATCGAAAGAGAATAACGAATAATAATTATACAATGTTATTATTTTCAAGGTCACTGTAGAAGAAGTTTTTCGACGGAAGATGACGTGTGACTTGCTGTTTTACGAGGCCAGTTAAAATTAGAATTTCCTTCGTCAATTAGCCTCTACAATCGACCCGAACGAAGTTTCAAAACTGTCATTTTAACATGTTGGCTAAGACAGCTGAGTTATAGGAAAGTTTTCAGACAGTAACATAAATAAGGCTTCGATTACAACATGAATAGCAGGTCTAATATCTACGTTCTAAACTTACGAGTCTTTGATACAAACTTACATTTTTGTCGCTGAGTGAAGCGTACAAGAAATGTTTCATGGTCACGATCGGTCATTATCATCAATTCTTTCCGGAAGCCCTTTCAGGAGAAACGTGTATCCTCGTCAGGAATCCATTTCAGGACCGATTCGAGTCCGTCCGTGACAGTCAAATGGATTCCCTGCTTATCGATGCAGTGTGTTCTCTTGCAATGTCACTGTCATCACTCACACAGCGCAGTTATTGACATTGGAATCGAACAGTCAAATAAATCTCAGTGATGGAATAATAAATAGGCTTGCGAACGAATCAAGAGACCGTTACACTCGTAGGGGACTAGAATCGTTCTCTCCAAGCCAGTCTTCGAAATTTACCGCGTAAGCCACAAAACTGGCATCAACTCAACTTGATCCTGGTGGTATACGGCTTATATGTTATATGTAAAATTAAAACGTAGTTAATTTCTAAGTCATTGTTTTGTACACATGGTTACTGAGTTACGACAGAATTTTTAATCAGGGATTTTTTTTTAATGGCGTGTTTTTGGTTTTAATTTTAATTGAAGATATATCGTGACAAAATTTTTCACAACATTAAATGAAATTCATTTATCTGGTCGGTTAACAGATTTCACACATATAATCAAATTGTAGTGTCTTGTATTGTATTTCTCCATCAAATACACACCTTTACTGTATCTAGATAATTAAAAATGATGCTAAAAATATAATAAATGATAGAGTTTTTAATACATCTTTGGGTTAGCAACAACCGCTTTTTTATGCGCTTGATTTTTTTATTTCAAATCCCCTCAGACCGCAATTTTTTCGTCTTTTTAGCTTTAAGAAATKATTTTCGTTCGTTGTTCCACGTTCATAAGTAAATTTATCAAAATATTGATAGAAAATCTTAGAAGGGAGAAAAATATTTTTCTTTCCAAATGAATACAATTTGTAAAAGGTTTAATCAAATTTGAGTGCTTYGTGCTCAAGTCAAGCCGGAAAGACCAGCATAAGCACATCAACACGGATTTACAGATATTTCTATGAAGATACAACAGTGACACAGAGTGATCCGAGTTCCGAGTTTCTATTGTTCCATTCCATAATTTCCACAACATTAACCAAGGTGTCAAACGAATACTAACTTTATAAAGAAACCTGTTTCTTGTTAAGAATAATCAAGCCGACTTATAAACTTCTACCTAGCTATTGGACTATCCCTACAAACAACAAAGAAATCCCGAAAAACTTATATTAGTTTTTGATTTGTCCATGGCAGCGGACTACACCACAGACCGCAAGAAATCAAAGCGTTTGACAATCTTGTGTACATTTTTCCTGACTTCAAAATGCGTTGTCAAAAATAATAGACATCAGAATTACGATTATCCGTGTTTAATCTTTTGTTCAGCAAACACCTAAATATTCCTCAGGAATAAATTCGCCACACGAAGTTATGACTAGAATCCGAATCTGGGATCGAAAATAGCGGTCAACTGTGAAAGATTTTTGCCAGGGATGAGAGCCAGACGCAGCAGGGTTGTATGATATACATCACTTTGATATAAAGACGTCTCAAGACTTAACAGTACACGTAATTATGTTCGCAAAATAACACGTCAAGTTTATCAAAGAAACCTATAAAGAACCACAGCAAACAAAAGAGAGGGACTATTGATTAGAGGCTTAGTGCTGTCCGACACACATATATCGGAATCCATTCTTGAATAACCCAATCGTCAAGACTTGAGACTGCTTTTCATACGAAAATAAATCTAGCTTTATTTTACCTTCTTTGGTACCTTTGACCGGTATAGGCTTGTGTTTTTCTTGTCCAGAGAATGATCGCGCTCTCCTTACTTTGACACCTCCAAATAATTTTCCTTTTAAACCTGAAAAATTAAATCCACTGGTTAGCGCGCGAGATTATTCGTATATGAAAATTATTACCTATTCTTTGGTAAGATAAAAGACCATGAAACTGTTTTTACCTGAACGCTTAAGAGAATGGGACGATTGAGGAGAGGAAGCCGAAGTGCTCATGTTTACGGTTTCCACACACGACGTTTAAAAATCTTGGCTTTTGATTCGGTCTTGTAGTTTTGAGAGAAAATCACTGAGTCATGAAAGATGGATTTGTAAGCATCGCATAAAACTCCACGCGCAACAGTTTGCTTTTGATTTACTGGAATAGAGTTCGGCTTCGATTGGCCTCGACTGATCGTGACGCTGCGAACTGATTTGATTGGAGCATTAAGTTAGTTTCTGAGGTCAAGCAAGCATTTGATAGCACTGTAATTAACCAACACACCTATCAAAAACTGATCAATTGTTTATAGATGAGAAAAGGTCTTGTACGCATAGATTATTTCATTCACTATGATCAAATAAATCTACAAATTGGAATTAAACAGATTTGAATTCAATCTCATGGCATAAGAAGGTATGCTAAATGACTTTTTTTATCTACAGCCAAAGAGAAATCCCAAGGAAAAACATTTGAGTAACTTTGCCGCACCTATGACCGTCACATAACAGGATGTTGATGAGTGCTCTGTTATACTTCAATTTCTGTTCACTATTCTTCGTAAACTCGTGTTTAGATTTCACTCTTGAGTCAAAAATACAGTTTAATCTCATTATGTAATAACTTAAACATATGTACAAAGCGCATGAAGCTGGCGTTCCTAACTCCATGTGCTTTCAGCTCCGTATCCGTGCTAGACAGTACGACGCACTACGATATATTCTGTTTTTCTTCATAATACTTCTTTTCTTAGCCTATCTTAAGTTTGATTCTAATCAAGGTCACAGAGATATCTGATAGACCATCAAACTTAAAAATTTTAGCTTCTGAGAGTATTCTATGTTGACCTCCACTAGGTTACTATGCCTTCAAGAGGCATGCGTAGTACGCGCGCAGTATTTTAGACGCGTATTTGATGTTTTCACTCATACAGAGTAAACACTTCAAGTGATGGAGAACTCCATTGAGCAAGCTTTCTTTTTGTTTTCGCTAATGAACTACAAATATGATTGACAGCTTCAACATTTTTTTCATTTTTTGTTTGACTTCCTTTAAAACAAAGTTCTTCAAAACACTTCCTTTCGCGGAAAGTCGAAAATGACGCCAAACAACTGCGCAGCCACTACAAAGCAAAAGATAACAGATAGAAAACATGATAAAATAAATGCGCAAAACCCTCCAGACATCTACCCCCTGGGGATGTGCATTGGTCTATAGACCGAGCTTTCGATACTTCAAGAGAATTGTTTTTCAACGTCAAAAGAAAAAGAAAAAAAAAGCTTTATTTTGACGCAAGAAAAACAAAGTAGATTAAGGAAGAACACACAGGAAGACAGGCAGTCTTTTCTTCGGGTAAGGTGGATTATGGTGTGGAATAGTACTGATTTTGAATGCGGTGCAGTTAATTAGGCCCAGTTTAAACGTAGAATTTCAGATGCGCAGAATCTAATGCGAATAAGCAAAACCTTTAAGATTAGATTAGGCACATGTGAAATTCCACGTTTAGACTGGGCCTTAGGAACGGACCATTAGATATAATTGAGGGGGAGGTTGCGTAAATCGCCCAAAAAATATCAAGCAAGCACTTCACCTACGAGAAAATATCGCGCAACATCTTCTTTTCAGAAACGAAATTTTGGGCAAAACAAAAAAATGCGTGTAGAGGTTGTTACAAAAAGATAAATATCGTGCAACATAAATTCCTGCAATCTTACCCTGAATAGACCTCCTCTGCTCGGGCGTATTTTTCCCCATTTCACTCCACGTGTCATTCTCATATTCATGTATCCTAGCTCTCATGCGCAGCCGTTAAACAAAGAAATGATATTCTAGGGAATGACACGTTGTCTAAAATGGGGAAACATTACGCACGAACTGAGGAAGTCTATTGTCTAATGGCCCATTCCTTAGTTTAATAGTTAGATTCTTTAAGCCCCGTTTACACTAGCGATTTTCGGCGATTTTTTTGCTATTTTGTCCATAATAAATAATGGTAAAAAATTTACTTGTAAAATTTTTTCCAGGATACCAAGATTTTCCTWGACGAATGTCTCTTTTGAAGGATGAGACAAAAGATTTCATATTTCCGAAAATTGGCACAAAAATCGCCTCAAAAATCGCCAGTGTAAACGCGGCTTTAGAAGGGTTTATATTGATGGGTAGAGTCTATAGTTGGTGCAGTACCGCACGTAGCAGATTGTTTCATAATCGTATTAAATAGTATTCGTGTTCATTATCAAACGTGGGAGAAATTATCAGATTAGATAAGAACCAGACTGCACAGATAAAATATGTAAACATATCAGCAATAATGATAACGCTCCATTAAAATATCAACAGTCTAATAGCGTTGCTTCATGAACTACATGCTATCAGAGTCTTAGGGCCTGTTCAAGAAAAACATAGCTGATAAGATCGACGTCTATACATAGAAACAGCCGTTTCATTAGTATTCTTTCTAGGTTCTTAATGGGTTACCTGTGGTAGGCGAGTTGTAAAATGCCTATTTTGGAAATCTATTTCATAACGGCTTATAATAATGGGGTAAGTGATAACTGTCTAGAAACGTTAATAATGATAAGCCCGTAGAATCCGTATGGAAAAGCCAGGCTGCCATCAATGATAAGAATAATGAAAGAAATGAATGAATATGATGTGGCATAACCTAATGAATAATCTGACGTCACAAACTATAAATCATGCAACGGTTGACAATCTCTAAACATTAGAGTGCATACCATATATCCGTGAAAGTTAACTAACAAAATTGTACAAATTAGTGCAAAGTTTTTTAGGTCTACTGAGGTCTACTGAACTTACTCATTTGTACAAATTTGTGCAATTCCTTACAAAGCGTTTCACGGAAATATGGTATGCACTCTATCAATCATCGCTACTGTTAATACGACAGAAACGCTATCCAATGTAAACCCTGTATTCATGCAATGTCTTTTCAAACTATGGCCAGCAGTAGTAATAAGTAATAAGGACGTAAGGAATGAGAAGGAAGGATTAGTAATGATACTCAGATACTATAGCATGGATAGCACGTTATACTAAACTGCTTGAGTACCCACTATGAGGACGTGACAGAAAGAGGTACGCGCGTGCGTTGCTATCAAGTCTATAAACGCCAGCTAAATGTCCTCACGCGCGTAACAACATAGCTTCCTACGCAGACGTTCTTAGTGTCTGTCACGCAACGTTTCGTGAGGAGGGCTAATAACGACAGGACTATCTGCCAAACAGAGAATAAGTGTGGACGGCTATTTTTAAATCTGTTGGTTTGCTGCTTAAGGTCTTTTAGCTTAATCCACGCAAACCTAACGAACTAGTATATCAGACCCAGGAACAGAAGGTCTGGTCTTAGGTC